GGTATAACCTTTGCCATTTTTGGCCTTGTTTACACTACTCTTTTGTTATCTTTTTCTTGTTGTTTATACACTATTTTGGATTGGTTATAAGTGTTGAAACTTGTGATTTAAGAGTTACCAAAGGTGGAGGGGATAACCACCTTTTCTTAAACCTTATGCCATAGCTTATGTCCTTGTTCTTCCTACTTATTTCTTTGATTTATTCACTATTTTCAGAGTTTTCAAGGCTAAAATATGTGATGTAAAGGTCCAAAAAGAGGAGGGGTTAGCCACCCTTCCTTAGGCTTGCTTCTAAGTTTTGTTCTCTTCCATTTTTGTCTACATTTTCCACTCTTTTCAAAATGATTTCAGCACTTTTTTTTTTTAGTTTTTGGGGCTGTTTTAATTTATGCTTTGAATACCATGCTTATGGTGTTGTAAGTCCACATGGATTTGGGTGTATAGGCCATAGCCACCAATCCATTTGAGTTGATAGTTATATTTACACAGTTTTTATGTAAATAGCCTCACTTTTGTAATAATCACTTTTGCATAATCATCTCTGCAACCTCCCTCCATTCTTTGTTTATTTTGATTAAAGAGTTGTGTTTAACTAAATATTGTTGTTTAAGCATAAGAGAAAGACCTTTCATGCTTGATGGTTTAATCTCTTTGGAGGTTCATTACCAAGGCATTACATCTCTCTCATGCTAACACTAACCTCTTGTTTGACATTTCTCTTTATCACCGGTGCATTTACTTCTAAGGGACTAACTTTCTAGTTAGACCCTTGGAAATCACCAAGGAAAGAACCATTATAGCTCGTTATCAAGTTTGGATTTAGAGGAATTATCGCTCATTATGGTTTTGATTAGCCATTATTGTTCTCTTTGAGTTTGACTAATCATTATCGTTCATTTTGGGTTTGACTTAGAATTCATTATCGTTTGTAAATAAGTTTGACTCTTCCTTTGTAATTTCTCTCGTAGAAAAGGGCTTGAAATGCTCATTTCTCGGGTTAAGTCAATGCTTGATACTCTTTATTTCTTTTGGACTTAGTGGACGTAATTATCACTTTCGGACAAAAAAGAATAAAAGATATGGAATGGAAAGGTAATGTAAAAGAGGCTAATAAAATTAGAGTAAAAAGAGGTTACAAAAAGGTAATAAAATTGAGTTGGATTCAATCAAACGTTATATTAAACTTATTGCGTCTTGACTCATTACATACTCTTTAGTGACGTTTAATGGTTCATGAAGTAATGTCTACCCCTTCCCTTGAGATAACTCTATGATAGAGAGGAGGTATTATTGGTCTTTCATTTCATTTTATTGAGCTTTTATCCTATCGATTTTAAGATCATCAAGCAACAAATGTGTGAAAATTGATGATTTGTGAACCGAATCTACTCCTCCCTTGATCATCTTCATGATAGGGAAGGGTAGAGAGGATAAACATCTCTTGGAAACACTTTGTTTTTGCCTTGTTTCAGTTCTGTGGCAATGGGGTATCTTTCAAATATAATGGCCGGCCGGCCACTATTATGTTCAGCCAACCACTTTTCAAGGCCGGCCGGCCGACTACCAATTTGTACATGTAGTGGCATTTTGGTGGCAGAATAGAGCAAAACCTGAGGCCAAAACAGAATAATTTTCTGATTGCAAAACAGAATAGATTCTGGCAGCAAACAGAGAGGTTTCTGGGAGGATGTTCTCGATTGTGCACATGTGGCTCCTCACCTCCCATTCTATTAATTTAGTACTTTAATATTAGTGTGTTGTAATTAATTGGTTAGCTTCTTTCAAGTTAATTCGTTTATTTTATGTTGTAATAATTAATTAGGACATTCATTCGGACCCTCTTATGCGAGGACAAATTTGTAAAACTTATAATATGGTGTATGTTTTCCAACTCCCATTCTTTCTCCCTTTTATTTACTTGCTTACGATGGTTACATGTAGTATCATATGTTGGTTTCATATCATTACCATGTGTAAATATCTATTTTTGCATGCATTGGGTTCGGTTCATCATTATAACATTATTGTCATTTCCTACTTATTTGAATACATGCGCTATCAAATGCTTTGAGTTGAGCCATATGTCATGTTAATAAATTGAACCTAATAGTTTCATTTTACATGTGTTGTATTAGTCACTTGCATATTAGAGCATGCATTTTTCTAAGTATTTTCTTCTATTTTGGTTTATCTCGATTGAGTATTAGGTAAGCATTTCTTGCTTTAGCATATTGCATGTATGTTTGTGTTTTCATATCAAGCCCATTACCATGAGGCTAAATGGTTATTTGAAATACCTCTTTGAATGTCGGTGGATGAAATCTAATTTGCTTAAATTGGAATGACTTGATTAATGTATATATGAGCTTGGTTTTTCAAGTAGCACATTCAAAACTCTTTTCAAACAAACATCAAATCAAAGCATTCCAAAGTAGGAGAAATAGTTTATACTTGTGTGCCTCACCTGGTAATGTTAGCATAATAATCGAAACAAGAGCATATAATGTATATAAAAATCACATCATGATTAGTAAATGTTGATCTTTGATCGGGTGAGTAGGGTACTCAATTCATGACTTTCCCCTTTCATACCTAAGTTCCCGAGTCGAGACACTTTGGTTATGACGGACAAGTGGCCTTTGGAATGAGTCTCAGGTTTTCTAAATTTTTTAGAAATATTTAGGTGGCAACTCTGAAATCTGGTAATGCAGTCCATTTTTAGTATCTCTGATGATAAATGGATTTTCTAAGATTTGCTGAACTTGGACTTTCATTTGTTTAATCTATTTCACATTGCACTTGTGAAACCAGATTCAAAACCACGAGAGTCCGAATTGTAGGGCTATCGTATTCGAGGAGACTAAACTCCTCCAAAGAGCACGAAAAGCAAGCTACAATAAGCTATAGATTAATACTTTAGGCTTGAAAAATAATATTTATCACCACATATTTTCCTTAAGTTTAACAAATGTTATGCATACATATGTAAAATGTATCATATTTAAAAAGGTAATAGTAAATTCATTATTTTTGAAATATGATAGATTTTACATATATATATATATATTGTTTTCATGTGAATTTACAAAAATAAAAAATAAAAAAGAAAAAGAAAAGATATTAGAAATACATCACGAAGATTGTGAGAGTTTTTATTTTATTTTCATTTTAAATATAATTAATTGATCAAGCAAGAAGAATACAGAATATGGTGAAAGTTGTTTTCAGTGCAACGTGTAGTTAGCATATGTATGTTGATTTCATGAAATTGTATGTGATCACTATCAATAATATTGATCTCCTATTTGAGATTGCAATATCATCTTGTGCAAGCTCTAATAGTATTATTTGGGGAAAAAATTGGTAAAAAATCTATTTTTAGGGATGCGTATGACATTAGATTCAAGAATTATTTTGCTTTAGTTATAAATACATAATTAATAAAACAATTGTGATTGGTAGCTCGAAACCCAGCCCCCCGAATCGCCTGAATTTGAAAAACAACATCGTTTTTGAATTTTCAATTTTTTTTTTTTTGTTCAATCAGAAACGAAGAAGAAGAAGAAGAAGAAGAAGAAGAAGAAGAAAAGAAGAAGAAGAAGAAAGAAAGAAGAAGAGAAGAAGAAGAAAGAGGCAGAGGCGGAGGCGACGGTGGCCGACCGGAGGCAGAGGCGGACGAGCTGCGACGATCGGCTGGGCGATCGGCGGAATGCAGGGGCCTCTCTCTGTCTCTGTCTCCATTCCCTCTTCCCTTCCATTCCCTCTTCCTCCTCTTTCTCTTCTCCTCTCTTCTTCTCTCTTCTCTTCCTCTATTTCCCTCTCTCATCTCCTCTCTCTTTCTCCCTCTCTCTCTCTCTCTTGCCTTCGATTTCTTCAGATTCGGGGGAATGATTTTTCGGGGGAAAAATCATTTCTCTTAATAAAATTGGTTGGTGAGAATTTTAAATTATTATTTTGAAGGATATATATATATATATATATATATGTTTTTCATTCTTTACCCATTGTCTGATCATCATTGGAAAAGTCATCGATGTCGGAAAACTCACAGGCAAATGTAACTAGTGGTTGGTGGTGGTGATGGTATAAACAAATATGTAAATGTGATAGACAAATAACCGACACGTAGGCAAATAGGTGACAGGTGGAATAGTGAATAGATAGGCATATAGGTAAGAACTATTGTTATTGTCCTTACAGCCCCAAAAGAATAGAGTTTGGGCCATTGTACCAAAAGTTTTAAACTTAGATTTACGGCCCCGTGCCTTATTATTTTAAAATGAAAAAAATAACTGAACGGGAGAGAAGTCACAATTTGATCCAATATATTGTAAAATTATATATTTTAATATTTATGAATTTTCAAATGAGTTATTTTGAATTTTTGTAGCCAGCTATGCTAGGATCCCATAATTTTTGTCCAAAAAATTAAAGTTGATATGCGGATTAGATTGATTGTACATGTGAACTCCATAAAGCAAGAGTTCATTTTTTGAGTAAATTTTTTAAATAGAAATTTTAAATCCCTATTGTTTTTTGTTTTGCAGCCACTAATTAGAATAGAATCTTTAATCTCACAATTCTAAGTTTTGTAATTTCATATTTTAAAAAAAAAATTACAAAATTAATTTTTAATTGAAAATTCAATTCATAGATTTTTGAGTCTTTTAATTTTTGAGGGACAAATTTAGGACTAGATTGGTTTACAAACACACGTGCTAGCATTCTAAATCCTTATTGTTGGTCATATACTCTTGTAATTCGAATTGTTAATTTTGTAGGACCATTGTGTCAATAATTGGTGAAAAGTTCATATTGTTCGATTAATGATAGTCAAATAATTTAATTGTATTTTAAAAAATGTTGAACTAATTTAAATGGCTCATTTAAAATCTTTAGATAACTAAATAGGTCGCTAGTTAAAGTTTTGTAAACATAACAATGGAACCCCTTGCATACAAACAAATATATAAATATGTATATATATATATATATATATATGTTTTTGCTACATAGCATTCCTGTAAGCTTACTCTCATTAAACAATGGGAAAATATGTACATAGAAAAGGGACCGGCTAACAAATTTCAGTGATACTTTTAAAGGAAAACTAAATCTATGGAAGATATTATTCTATCAATCACAATTACAGAGTTTGTACTTTATTTATATAAAAAGATACCTACTAGTTAACTATGATTACAACTAACCAAACCAATCTAACTCTAGTTATTACTACCTAACTAATTCTGTTGAGATGACTGGGCTCTCTTCTTGACGTTGGCTCAGCTCGGCTTAGCTCCTTATCATGCCCCCTCAAGCTTAGGGGAGTTTGAGAGACCGTAAGCCTGTGCTGCAAATACTAAAATTGATGAGAAGAAAGTGGTTTGGTGAATATATCAGCAAGCTGATCCACAAAAGAGATGTGACAAATATGAAGCTTCTTTGCTGCAACTCTTTCTCTAACATAATGGTAGTCCATCTCAATGTGTTTGGACCATGCATAAAAGACAGGATTATTGGACAAAGAGATAGCAAACATATTATCCCACCAAGAAGTGGGGACTCGAACTGAGATATGAAGATCAGATAAAAGCATACCAAACCAGCTAAGTTCAACAGTGGTGTGGGCAAAAGTCCGATATTCGGCCTCAGCGGAAGACCTGGATATAGTAGATTGCTTTTTAGGAGACTATAAATCAAGTTGGGACCTTAGAAGACACAATAACTAGTTGTAGATCTTCAATCAATAGAGTTGCCTACCCAATCAAGATCGAAGAAAGCATTTAAAGTGAGAGGTCCGGGTGTAAAATGTAAACCATGATGAAGAGTATCTTTGAGATATCTAAGTAATCTTTTGGCCAAAGCAAAATGACTAGTAAGAGGAGTTTGAAGGAACTAACAGGCATGATTGACAACAAAAGCCAAGTCAGGTCATGTAATAGGAAGATACTGCAGGGCACCAACAAGACTTTGATAAAGAGAAGGCTGAGAAAATGGCAAATCCTCAGTAGAAACAGTAGACTTGAGAGTCATAGGAGATGGGGTAGATTTGTAATTTGTCACACCAGTTTTGGCTAAAATCTCAGTAGCATACTTCTTTTGAGACAAGAAATAACCTGAGGCAGAGGAGGTAATAAATATACCAAAAAAATAGTCAAGAAGACCCAATTCTTTCATGGAAAAAATAGAGTGCATCTTAGTGATAAGGGTGGAAATATGAGAAGGATCACTGCCTGTGAGAAAAATATCATCAACATATATTAAGAGAATAGTGATGGAGGTAAAAGTCTTCCTAACAAATAAGGATGAATTACAATAACTAGCCTAGAAGCCCTGTTTGAGAAGAATGTAGAAAAAGTAGAGAACCAAGCTCTGGGAGCTTGCTTGAGCCCATAAAGAGCCTTTTGTAATTTGCAGACCATGGATGGATGCTCTTTATCAACAAAACCAAGAGGTTGATGCATATAAACCTCTTCATCTAAGACACCAAGAAGAAAGCATTGAAGATATCAAGTTGATTGATAAACCAGCTGAAGTGAAGAGCTAAACATAAGAGAAGTCTAATAGTAGGTTGCTTTGCTACTGGACTAAAGGTCTAAAAATATTCAATACCTTTAGTTTGGAGAAATCCTTTGGCAACCAATCTGGTTTTGTATCGAACAATTGTACCATCTGAATTTTTTTTGAGACGAAAAACCCATTTGCAACCAATAGCCTTTTTGGTAAAAGGAAGAGGGACCAAGTTCCTTGTTGCATTAAAGCTATGTATTCATCAACCATGGCAATAGTCCAGGCAGCTAATTGAGCAGCTTCTTGATAAGATTGAGGCTCAACCAGATCAGAAGAAGAGAGATCAGTAGAAGTGAGGAAACAAGTAGGATGATGAGATTTAGACCGAGTAACCATGGGGTGAGTATTAGTAGAAGAAATAGACAGAGTTAGATGGGAGAGTAGGAAAATGAATAAAAATAGAAGAAATAGGGATATGAGAAGATGGAGAAAAAGAAATAGAAAGAGAAGAAGGGACAGCAGAAACCGGTAAAGCTGTTGTATGTGAAACAGACTGAATTGGAGGCAAATTAACAGTCGAAGCTGCAGATTGATGAGCGGGATGAGTTGGATGGTGAGTAGTAAGCTGAGCTGCAAGCAGAACAGATGCTACAGATGGGATAGCATGCTGAGAAACGTAGAGGAAAACTAATTCTATATAAGATATTATTCAATCAATCACAATTACAGAGTTTGTACTTTATTTACTAAAAGGATGCCTACTAGTTAACTATGATTACAACTAACCAAACCAATCTAACTCTAGTTGTAATTGCCTAACTAATTCCGTTGAGATGATTGGGCTCTCTTATTGACTTTGACTCAGCTCCTTTTTCTTGGCTTTGGCTCAGCTCTTTATGAACTTTGTTTCTACATGAGAGTAATGGGTTCGATTATCACTGATAAGACTCGATTCTTTGCTTGAGAATCTGGAGATCCATGCCCATCTCCGTGTTGATACGTGCATTGGGAAATCCGAGCAAGGTTAACAGTGGTTTCGACAAATGATTTCTCAAATGGAGAATCAATTACTTGATCTTTGTTCATCTTCTTCCATGTTTCATCAATCAAATTGCTTATATGCTTCCGAGCAACTTGTTCAGAAACTCCATTCTCCTTCATGTAACACAGGATTGAATTTGCCGATTCACCTCTCTCCAACTCGTCCTATCACATAGACAAACAAGAATGTTAATGTTAAGTAACTAACGAAATGGAATTTTGCATTAACATTCTTTTGTAAGTACAGCGCCGACCCTTCCTTAAGGCCGTTTAAAAGTTCACCTAATGTCCTCATTTATTTCAACCAATAAAAATAAATAAATAAATAAAGTCTAATATCTTGAATGTTAAAACATGGTAAAAACAACCTTAATTACAAGAATAAATATGTAAGAAAATGAAATTTAAATAAAATAATTTTAGTTAAAATATATAAAATCGTTTTAAAATTTTGCCTGTGGCCCCAGAAATTATTGGGTTTCATCTCAATACATTCTTGATTCCATGATATGGTAAGAATCTCAAGTATAAAACTTTTGAGATACAGTTGTGCAACTGAAGTGCATTAACACAGAGGCATAGAAATTTGTTTATAGAAGATCAATGCCCTAAACTAACAATGAAACTGCCTTCTTGTAATTTCCATACCTTGGAAGTACCCAAATCATTGGTAAGTCTGAAAATAATGGATGAACATTCTAAGAGACTATGGTATGCCTGTAAGCTATCCAGTGCCTCTTTTGTAATTGTTTTAGTCATCAAAAAATAGGCATGAACTAGTATTACAACCCCTGATACTGAACGCCATGCATTCTCAAGGTATGCCTCGAATGTTGGAGTTTCTTTGTTGAAACACCACTTTGCTTCCACCAAGAATGCTTTGCATAAATCTGCCCACTGTGACACACAAAGGTAACAATAACAATATAAATTATTATTATTTTTTTTTAAAGTAAAGTAATATAAACATAAAAATTGTATAGAATGTTAATTTAACACGATGTAGCAAATGTTAATCATATTACTTTAGAGAAAAGGAAAATGCTAGAGGCACTTTTTTGAGTAATTTTCTAGATACTTTTCAGAATATTTTTCTATGTTCCTAGTTTTATTGTAAAGAAAGAGTTTATGATGACTTAATTTTCAAAAGAAAAATGGAAATCAGATCAACTTTCAATCTAAAACCAACGCATGTTAAAGCTCCTCATTATCAGTACCTAGACAATACCTAATCAGGTACTCTTACGTGGAATGTGTTGGTTTTAAATCGAAAGTTAACTTGCATAGCATTTTATGTTTTTTTTTTTTTTTAAATGTCACTGAAATATCATTTTAACAATTAATGTCTCTATAAAAATTCTTTAAGAATACTTTTTTTTTATTTTATTTTATGCAACATGTAGATTTTCAAATCTAAAGTTTAATGCCCGATGAGGATGTACTATTAATCTGCTTCATCAATGCCTAATCAAGTACTCCCACATGTGTTGGTTTTTAAATGTAAAGTTGGCTTGCACAACATTGTTCTTATTGAAAATGTCACTAACACATAATTCTTATTATTTTCTTTATAAAAATTCTTTAAAATATTTAAATTTATTTATTTATGTACCTTATGTAAGGGTTTGCCTTTTTTTAAATTGTCATCTCAATTTGAGAGAGTGTTTAGGTTTAGTAGGTCCATTTTAAAACCGATTTTGGTGATTAGAATTGTTCACTTTTTTGGACTCCTTGAGTAAAATATTCATGCAAAAAATAGGATAATTGGATCGGTTTCTATATGTTTGAATCATATTTGTTTTTAAAAAATGGATGACAAATATAATTTCAAAAATATTCATCCATTTTTTTTAATACAAAATTGATTCAAACACATATAACTACTGATATCCGATCATTTTGATTTTTTGTATAAATATTCTACTCAATAAGTCCTAAAAAGTAAACGGTTCGGATTATCGAAACGGCACATGTGAGACTCCACGAGCCCCTCAAGTTATCTCATATTGAAATGAAACGTAAGAGAGTCCTAATTCTTTATGTAACATATAGAGATTCAAACCTAAAGTTTAATGCCTGATCGGCACCTACTTTCAGTGGGTTTCATAAATGCCAAATCAAGTACTTACACATGAATTGATTTTAAATTGTATAAAGTCCGCCTGTGTATCATTAATCCTTTTAAAAAAGTGGCTGACATGTCATTCTAGCTTTATAATTTCTCTACAAAACTTCTTAAAGAATAAAATTTTTGTAATACTTGTTATGCAATATGTAGATATTCAAAAATAAATATGAATGTCACATGTATGTGATGTGTGGATACACGCATACCGCTCTAGTTAAATATGGGATGATGTTGACCCCATGCTGTTTAAGAGCGTCATAAGCCATTTCATTGACAGTGTTGTAAAGAGCTAGGAAGCATAACTTCATGTAGTCTGGAAGTGTTTCCACAACATTTGTATCCCATCTGTAAAGTAAACACCATTATAGAAATGAAATAAAATAAAAAGCGAAATAAAACATAATATAAATATAAGGAATTTTTTTTTTTTTTTTGGTGTGTGTGTGTGTAATTTACCTCTCAACAGCAGCTGTGAACAGTTCTAGTTCATCCAACGATCCATAAACATCGTAGACATCATCAATGGTGGTGATCAAAGTGGTTACTTTCGTCAGCCCCTTTCGGCAGGAACTGAATTGAGGTTCAAAAACCATACCGACAGTCCAAAAGAAGCATTCCATGAGTCTGTCCCTAGCAAAACTCAACTTGTTTGCCAAGCCTATATCCTCCCACCACCTGAAAAAACATTATCAACACTGATTGCTTTACGACACTGTTAAGTTCAACAAGGGTTTTTTTTTTTTTTTTTTTTTTTTTTACAGGCGGCTCAATACTTTTGTGGGTCTTAGGCAAAATTTTATAAGGATTTTTTTTTTTTTTTTTTTTTGTAAATAATAATCATAAACTTTTTATTTAAAATTTCCTTTTCTTGTATATTAATTTTTGTAATTAATATTGGTCTACCACCTCTATTATTCAGGGCTCTTTGATTGCATCAAATGCAAAGCAGAGTCTAATGGTATCTTCTCAGTAGCATAAAATCAACAGAATGGTTGAGGATTGGGATTTTGAACGGTCAACGGGAAGATCTATATATTTTTTGGGTAAGCGATATTGAATCTACAAGCATATCCTTCTTTGTGTGGAAGTTATGGTCCAAAATTATAAAGTGGTGGGGTATATGGTGTGGGTAGTATCAGGGTCTGTAAGTATATTGCTTGAATGGTGGCAGAGCTGGGGCTTTAAAAGAGCCAAAAAGGTTGTCTGGGATGTAAAACTATTTGTGGCCATGTGGTCAGTTTTGGGGGCTTAGAAGCAAATTTGTATTTGAGAATTTGCAAACAAACTTGGAGGAACTTATTGAGTTAATTAAATATAGGGTGATTCTTTGGGCCAGGATGAGACCAGAGTTGAGAAGCATATATATAGCAATGACAAACTTACTATATTGCTTTGCAGGCAACAATTGTCAGTTTGCCTCTAGCTTTACATAAAGATGCTGATGTTTTCAAGCAGGTTTGATACTCTACTGGAGGAGAAAAAGGTGCAATATTAAGGTGTTTTTTGACTGATGGTGCTGCTGTTGCTGTTATCTTTTCCTTCTGTTTTGGCCATTTTTGCTTGTATTTGGTTGGATTCTCTCCAACCGATCCTAGTGTTTGGATGGTGCTAGCACATGATAGGACTTTCTTATCTATCCCAACCTAGTTGAGATAGATTTGTTTAGTTTTGATACTCTTTGCACTTTCCCTATGCCTTGTGTTTGATTTAAAAAAAAAAACACCAACTTTGGACAATCATGATTTTTGTTGGATAGTTCATAATAAGGCTTATTTTTATATTTTAATTTTGTGTATGTCTCTGGTTTTTTATTTATTATGGTCACCGGAAATATTTTATTCAGTCTTACAATTGGGCCTTAAAAATAAGAGAAGTTTTATTTTGTGGATCTTTGGGCAAGGAAGTCCTTTTCTTTTTTTGGATAGGCAATAAGATAGATTTGTTCCGTTGACCCTTTGAAGAATGAGATTTTTTAATATTTTTTCTCGGCTTTTAGACAAGATAGATTTATTTATTTATTTTTAAACAATGATCATAAAGGTATGAAATTTGAAACCCTGTAAAAAAAATGGGATCTTAGGTGAATGCCTAAATGACCTAAAGGGATGGCTAGCGTTGTTTGAGAACATAACACAAAAAATGTGAATTTTATTTATTTATTTCTTTACAAAAAAATAAAAATGACATTAAAAATGTTCTAAAAATTGCAATTGGATTTACCTTGACATTTGTTGGAGCTCTCGTTGGAGTTTAGATTGCACCATGTTGAAATCCAACTTAGCTAATTCAAGCAACAAGTGATTTGCATCTCTTCTTTCACTATATGCTTGAATGTACCACCTAGCTTCTAGCCTCAGCATCCTATGGTGGAAAGGAAGCTCCAAAGCATGTTTTATTTGTTGCGTAAGGGTTGTGTCGATATTTCCCTTTATGCCCTTGAGATGTTTGGTTGCAAATACTTTGGCCTCATCCAAGATATTTTCTCCATCAAAAGCAAGATGAGAAGCTTCATACAAACTGAGCAATCCCTTCACATCCTCACATAGCCACTGTTTAAAGTTGCCATCATGGTCCTTGAATTTCTGAAAAACATCTGTGACAATGACCATTTCAAATTATATATATATATATATATATATGAAAAATGATATTAATTTTTGTGAACTTGCAAAATACGTAAAAATAGTTGGAGATGTATAAGAAATATTTGAAGAAATTTTTTTTAGGCGTTTTCCTCCGTTCAGTGATAATAATTATGCTATCATTAGCATGACCATATAAACAATAATATGATAGAGACCACTAATTTTGGAACTCTAAAAAGATCACTAATGACATGGCACTTAATAAAAAAAATAAAAATACAACACCAAGGCCAAAACATCAAATCATTCCTGGTGGGGCCCACTGTCACATCATTAGTGATAGCACTAATTAGTGCTCTCACTCATTTTCCCCATATAAATATAAGATGCTCTTCTTTTTCATCGCACACATTGTTATATATGTTTGTTTTTATTTGTGAAAATGACTATTTAAATTCGAATAATTTAACACAGTTTTTCTAAAGGTTGTGATATGGGAAACCACTCTCACTTGCTCTGACCTGCATTTTCATAAAAATATAATTATTTTAAATTATTTTCAGTCATATGTATTTTTTTTTAATTTTTACATTTTTTTTTTTTGGTTTTTTGGAGTAATTATAGTCAAACTTTCTTTTAATCTCCCATGCTTGCCTTTAAAAGACAATAAATAAATAAATAAATAAGGAGACCTAGAAAATAAATGAGGGTAAATTACATTTTGCCACTTTTATATTTGATTATTTTTCTATGTTGACCCTCAAAATTTATTTTTTCTCGTTTTAGCTCTTCTTATTTTTAGTTTTTTTCAGTTTACTCCTAAAACAAATTTCAGTTAAAAATTAGACAAAAAATGATACATGGACAATTATGTGGCATTAAAATTATTTATTATATATAACCCACACCTTTAATACAAACTTAAACCCTACTATAATAATATTATTTTTTACGTTACGTGATAGTTATTGTGACATTTTCTGTTTAATTTTGAACAAAAATTAACTTTAGAAGTTAACTGAAAAAAATATGAAACATAAAGGATCAAAGTAAAAAAATATAAATAAATTTTAAGGACAAAGTGAGAAGGTCATCAAACTTAAAGGGACCAAGTATAATTTACCCAATAAATAGGCAAAGTTGATATTGATAGGGGAAAAAAAGGAAATAGAGTTTCGAGTCTTCATCTCTCTCTGGTTCCAGCCAACATTCAATGTAAAAAACACCGACAATCCTATTGACTCTCTTTTGTGAAAATAGTACAAGTCTCAGAGTTGATGACACTTGTCATTGCATCATGGCACAATCTTTATGCAATAGTGACTACTCCCAAAATATTTTTTCTTGAAAAAAAAAAAAAAAAAGACTTACCGTGAGAGACCTCAAAACCATGTTGTCTACAGAGCCTGAAGTAGAGGGCAGTGGCATGAACACCCTTCTCTAATCTAACATTAGTTCCTTGGACAAACATTATTCCATTAAGTGCTCTTCTAATATCCTCCTCAAAGTGATAGCTCAAGCCCAACCGTTGGATGTCATCTATGAGTTCAAGTGTTGTTGATGGATTAACATCTTCATCCCCAATCATAGCCCTTACTTCCTCCTTTAATTTCTTTGCCCTCTGCTTATGTATTTCATCCTATGAATACAAATATAGAGAGTGATGAGAAGTGGATTCATTAACATTAATAATGGTGATGTTACACACCAATTAATTACTATATTAATTAATGTACCAACACATGATATAACATTGTAATTTTAAAATTATCAACCACATCCATTATACAAACTATAAAAATTCAAAACTAATAAAACTATACCATATCAACTATTAGCACATTAATTAGTATACCTAGTGACGTGTATAGCTTTATTCAATTAATAATCAGTGATGATTTTACACAAAAAATAAATTTTATATGTTTGAATTATGTAGTAAAGATTGGCCACAAATGAAATGGGCTTTTGGAAACAGCAAAAGCAAAATTAAAGACTATGGAAGTTTAGGATTAACTTTTTTAGTTGTTTTTTTAAAAAAAAAAAATTAGGGGTTTGTGGTTAGAAATGTGCTACAAATGTTTTTTTTTTTTTTTGAACGAAAAAGATTAATGTGACATTCCAATTTGTTCACATACTTTGAGTGTAAAACAATATACATATTGTAATTGGTAAAAAGCAAAGAGTCTACCCATTTAGATGGGATTATTACAATTTTTGAATATGAAGATTGATATTTTGTATAATATAAATAAAATAAAATAAAAAAAGCCAATACTTTTTCTAAATTTTTTTGTCTTTAGTGATTTTTTTTTTTAAATTATGTCAAGATTTTTTATTTTTTCGACCTGCCTTGTCAAGACGAATCCAAAAAGTATATTTTTTTTGAAAAATTTCAAAAAAAAATCATTAAAAATGAAAATGAACAAAAAACTAGTGCTTATTTTTGTCTTTTTTAGATTTTTTTAAAAAAAATTATAATTTTCTTATTTATCTTGTCAAGCTGAATTTAGAAATCTAAAACTTTTTGAATTTTTTTTATAAAAAAAAAAACTAAATACAAAAATAAACAAAAACCAAAAACTGACTTTCCAAAACACCCCTAAATCAGAATCTACTCTCCAAAAAAATGAGAATAAATTCATTCTCCATTTTACGTTATGTTTTGGCTAACAAAAAATCGTAAATGAGGTTAAATAATATCTCATGTTTTCTTTTACAGCATTTTTTTTTATTGCAACTTGACATTATTAGTCAGTAATTTTCGATCAATGTTTATTACATAATCTGTAGTTTCTTTAATAGTTTCAATTTTATAATTTTACTAATGTGTTTTATTGTCAAAAAAAAAAAAAGAAAATCATTCCAAAATACTTTGTCAGAATACATTTTTGGGCCTTAATTTTTTTTAGAAAAAATATTAAATCCGTTATTTTTTTAAAAAATAATTATAAATAACTGATAAATTTTAATAATTAAAACTGACCCTTTCCATCAATAAATAAAAATGGCCATACCCAAATAAGAGATTTGACTAATCACTCTTTTGTCTTCCCACTCCTAAATCCTCACCTCTCTCTCTCTCTCTTTCTCTCTCTCTCAAACTTTTCGGGTGTGTTTAGTTAAAACTTTTCGGGTGAGTTTAGTTTGTGTTTTGAGATAAACTTAAAAAAAGAAAAAAATTGGAGAAGTTTCAAATTTTTTTGAGTTTGTTTGGTTGTACATTTTAAAAATAGTTTTGGAGTTTAAGAGTTTTAGATGATTTGATATTTTGTTATAATTGAGTAAATGTGTATGAAAAAAAAATTATTGAAAATGAGAGAGAAAATGTGATTGATTGACGTGTAATAAAGAGAAGTAATTTTGAATTTTTTTTAAAAAAAATTTATAATGAAAGATATTTTTAAATATCTTGTTATAATTGAGTAAATGTGTATGAAAAAAAAATTATTGAAAATGAGAGAGAAAATGTGATTGATTGACGTGTAATAAAGAGAAGTAATTTTGAATTTTTTTTAAAAAATATTTATAATCAAACATATTTTTAAATTTCTTTTTCTAAAAACATGTTTCAAAACACAAAAAAGGCACCTGAGGGCTATATCTATTTCTCTCTCTCTTCCACTCAATTTCTCTCTCTTTATATCTATTTCACACCCTTTCTATAAATAAATTAAGGGTAAATTACACTTACCTCTTCTAAGATTTTTGACAATTACAAAAACCTCCCCCATAGTTTTAGTAATTACACATCTTCGTTTGATTTTAGACTTTTGGCTTAAAAAAACAGAAAAATATAAAATTGACTACATAAGCAAATAAAATAAAATATCAAATCCAAATGATAATTATTATACTTTTTATCTTACAAAAGTCAAAAAAATAAAATAAAATAAGTCAAACCAAACGGGGCTAAAAAAGTCCTAACACAAAAAAACCAACTAAAAAAGCCAATGTCAAACGAAGACTAACTTCACCTACTTTTAAAATTATTATCAAGATTTCCCTACTATTATCCTCCATAAGGCTATTTGCTAATATTATACTGATGTCATGCTGATATCATACTAATAATGACGAAATTACCCCTTAGATGTCTTATATATTCAAATGACTAATTTCACTCATCTCTCTTAAGGTTTACATATATATTATCAAAGATCCATACATATTTTAAAACTATTTAATAAAATTCTTAAAATTCATGTAATATTACATAAAACTCTTAAATTGTTAAAATATTATTAAATCATTTAATAGAAGTAAAAAAAAAAACTTAATTTGTATTGATAGAATACTTAAAAATAAATAATCTATCTAAAATGAATGTTAGATAACATCCTAATAATTTAATATAAGACTTATTCCATAACACATAAACAAAGTAAAATTTATTATTTTAAGTAATGCATTTATTATTTGAATTTTTTTCTAAAAGTTGAAATAAATGGATTTATTTATTTACTTTTTAGACAATTTGCATTACTTATTTATTCATATGTACAAACATTATTATTTTATCTTTTCTCAATCATATATTATTATCAGAATTTAATTTTTATCCTTAGGTCATTAAACTTCTAGTCGATGCATTACATGATTAAAAAAAATTTAAAATAAATATAGAAGTAAAAAAAAATATATAATCACCATGTAATAAATTAAAATTAGTTGATAGGGAAGGAGAGATCACAAAATCTTAAAATTAATTTCTCACCCTCATTAATGGTTAAATTTTATTTTACTTTTTCTATAAAAGTTCAAAAACTTGTGGAAAAAAATAGGGTCAAGAAATTACATTTATATTTTGAAAAAATTATGAAGAATAAATAATAATGTCATATATATTTAATAGGATAAATTAAATTTAGTGCATATAAGGTTAAGATTAATGTTGATAACATCAGAAGAGGTAAAATTTATTTTTTATTTCTTTTTTTATATTTTTTCATCATGTAAAAAATATTAACTTATGTTTTTTAAATATGCATCAGCTAGAAGTTTAATGGCACAAAGATAAAAATTAAAATTTGAGAATAATATTGAGAAAAGATAAAAAAAAATAATTTTTTTATATATGAATAAATAAATAATGCAAATTGCCGAGGAAGAAAATAAATGCATTTATTTCAACTTTAAAAAAATTAAATAATAAATGCATTACTTAAAATGATAAATTTTACGTTATTTATGTAGTGTGAAACAAGTCTTATATTAAGCTATTAGAAAATTATCTAATATTAATTTTAGGTCTTAACAATTTAGAGATAAATAATTTTTTTACATATGAATAAATAAGTAGGACAAATTGCTAGAAAAAAAAAAATTAATCTATTTGTTTCAACTTAAAAAAAGAAAAGAAAAAAGAAATTTAAATAATAAATGCATTAATTAAAATTGATAAATTTTCCATTGTTTATATAGTGTAAAATAAATCTTATATGTACTATATTATTCGGATCTTATATTAAATTATTAAGGTATTGTGTTAAAATATGCATGGGTGTTTAATAACATATATGAAAAACTTCAAGGAGGTGGGTGAACAATTTCATTTAAATAGTTTATTGATTGATTTGATAATTTTCATCCTCCCGCTTAATTCAAATGAGTAATATAGTTGTTTTAGATAGTCAACTAATATTGTTTGTGCTAAATTAATGGAGTGAAGGAATCTTGATATTGTTAGCAAAAATTAAAAAAAAAAATTATACTTATTAAAACCACAGAAGAAGTTCTTATATTTGTTTAAAAATTTACAAGATGTAAGTATAATTTACCCATAAATTTTATAAAAAAAAAAAAACATTTTCAAGTCCGAGACTTGACCACTCACCAAATCATTTGTCTTCTCAATCCTCGTGTAATGTTTTAAAATTCGGACCGGACCTGTAGAACAAGGACCTGGGCCTAGTTTCGGTCCGAAAAATCCCTAAAACCTGGACTAGGCTGAGAACCGGTCTAGATTGTCAAAACCGGAAGAACCGCCGGTTCAACCTGGAAAACCGGTGACCTAGTACCGGTTTTGGAATGACCCAGCGGTTGGAAATTTTCTAATTTTTTTTTTAATTGTCTTCTTTCCTTTTCCTTCTTTCTTTTATATGTATATATATATATATATATATTTCAAAATATTAACTAAAAACTCTTACCTGTAGAGTCTTCTCTTATGAAGATGAGTCTCATTGGAAGCTTAGAAAAATTATGAAAATCTATTGGTATTTATAGGAAAAGATTTTTCAAAGAGAACTTATAAAATTCTATGTGAGATTCAATTAAATTATTTAAATCATATTGATTGGAGGGAGAATTGAAAATTTCATTTCACTCTAAAATTAAATCTAGCACTCAATCAATTTGTTTGGAGGGAATGTTAAAAAAAATTTAATTTCTTAAAACAAGTGACTTTTTCTTACCAATTATGACTTATTAAATATTATTAATAAATACTATGTAACAATTTTTATTTTTATTTTAGTATTTATATATATTTTTATTTATTTTTAATTTTTAATTATATAATATTAATTATGATGTCATGGTTCGACCACTTTAACTTGACGATTGAACCGGTGACTCGTCTACCTCATCTCTTTTTCGGTTCGCTTACTGGTCCAATTTTCAAAATATTGTCCTCACGTTTCCCTTTCTCTCTCCCTTTCTCTCTCCATCTCTCCCTTAAACCTTTCACTTCTCAATACTCTCTTTCTGTCCTTATATCTTTGTGTCTCTCACTGCTTTCATCTCTCTTTTTCTGTCAAACTTTCGTTTTCCTATTAACCCACACTCGTATCCATCTCTCTTTTCCTCACTCCCTCCCTCTCATCTCAATAGCTTATTTTTCTCTCTTATACCATATTTGGAGCAATTTGGAATGTTAATTTTTAGTTTCGAACTCATTTTAAATCACATTACTTCTCGCATCTTTTATACATAAAAAATTAAAAAAATTAAAAAATAAACTTTTAATCAACTTTTCAAATTCTTTATCTCACAATTTGCATTCTCTCAATACTCCTTTACCTTCCTCACGATTAGACTGGCACTTCTCACTCGGAGCTTATGAGGGCAACTTGAGATTATGGGTAAGGAAAGCAACGTTGTACCAGCATGGCAATTGTACTCTTTTCGTTTTAAAATATTAATGTTTTACTTTATTTTTATTATTTTAAAATAGTAGTCTTTTTTTAAAAATTGAGGTATAAGATAATATGAATTTTCTATTTTGTTATTTTTTTAAATTCATTAACAATATAAAAGTACAATGATGACAATTAATATTTTTTAAATATAATAATTATATTATCTTCCCAAAAAATTATTTTGAGAGAGAAAAAATAAAACTTTTTCCTGATTTTGTAACTATTTTTTTTGTTAAAAAAAGAAAAGAAAAAAGAGAACTGAATGTAATTTCTTTTATTATTTTATTCATTGATTTTGATGGAGTCCACACTGTAGTCTGACACCTGTATGGGATTTGGACAGACGCCTGACTTCCAGTTAGATATTTTTGTCAAGGAAATGATAATGAGCTCTAATTGTACACATGTGGAAACGAAAAAAAAGAAAAAGAAAAAAACAAACATACAGGTACAATTTTTTTAGAATTTTCAATTTTTTTGTTCATTATTAATTAATTATATCACGTGTTACTAATGATGTGATTTCACTATTGTAGTGTATTACATTTCTATTGGTCTTTTTAGCTCAAATCAAATTTCTCGTGAAAGCTAGTTGAAAGCTATTAAAATTTTGAAAAAATTTCATTTCAGCTTAAATTGTTTTTTAAAAAATGTTATTTATGAATGATAAATTTTATAAATATTAATAATTAAAGTTATAAATTTTTTCAATAATCTGCCATAACTTTCTGATAGTACCACTAACTGGTAATTTTTCTTAAAAAAATTTAAGATTATCATGCATTGCAACCAAAATTAAAAAAATTCAAATTACAACTTGCTCGATACTATAGGATTATAATTTGTAAAACATAGTCTACCTTTACATAATTATTGGGAAAAAAAAACTATGTTCTATTAATTTTTTGTTACAGTTTATTTTAACTCTTATTTGAATATTAATGCTTTATTTTAAAATTGTAATAAAAAAACATTGAAGGAGAATTTCTTATTTATTAAAAAAAAGTATGAAAATTAGCTGGACAGACAAATAATTGATATTTGAACAGATAGGTGACATTTAGACAGGTAGGTGACAATTGAACAGATAGGGATATATGATATTTCACAATGTTATTATTCTTATGGCATCAAAAGATTTAACTTTGAACTTAATGGCTCAACAAATCTAAAAATGGACGTCCAAATCGAGTGTCCAAATTAAAATTTTGAACTTAAATATCAAGGGTTAATGTTGTATGAAGTTTACTAGAAGGAAAGTAGAATGGAATTCAATACTAAGGGCAGTGGCGACTCTATTTGGTTTTGAATTTTTTTTTTTTAAAAAACATTGAGTTTTTTTTTTTGTATTTTGTTGTCTTTAGTGATTTTTTTATTTTATTTTATATTTTAGACATTTTTTTAGATGTACCTAAAAAATGAAAATATTTGTAAAAAATGTGTTAAAGTTTTGTATTTTTTCTATGTAATAATTTTTTTTTTAAAAATGACAAATAACTTATTTTTTAAATGTAAATTAAATTAGGCGAATTTATTAGAAAATTCTCTTTCAAATACTTGTATCCCAATTAGTTCATAAGATATTCTTATTTTTCAATAAGTCTTATTATTTTGGATATTTGATCAATCAAATATTAATTTCTCATATTTAACATATTTTATGGTTTACAAATATTTTTTGAACTCTTAACAACTTGGTGATGTGAACATTCACATTAAATAAATTTGATAACACGAATGTTCAAATTGACGTTATGAATGTTCACATCATGTAACATTCACACTATCAATGTAAACATTAATACGCACTACACTCTATTATTATTGTAGGTATTTTGATAACTATGTGAGTGTTTGGAAAGTTGTTATTTTAATAGGCTATTTTAGTTTTCGACTATTTTAGTAGGCTAAAATTTTTGTGTTTAGAAAGATAGTTGGATTTCTTGGTAGTTGGATCTGATGTTTGTGATAGAAAAAGTAAAATGATTATAAATTTGACAACATCAATGGTTGAGATCCAAAAGAGGTTGTGAGGTCCTCAAAAAAAAGGGTCTCAATCATTGTTGTTAAATTTATGATCTACTATAATTAAACAGAAATGATACATACCCTTTTTTTTTTACCCCCACAATCTCCACAGACATATGCGTTGAGAGATAGGAAGAAAAAAAAAACAAAAATATAAAAACAAAAACAAAAACAAAAAATTAACCAATCATAATACATTGGGTGGCAGGGGTTCCCAAAAAGAGATGTCCCAACCTTTTTCCTATAACTAAAATAGGACTACATGTACACAAAAAGTAAGTGGGGATGACAAAATCAGACTAGCTAGATAATAATAATTGTCAAAGGATACAAAAATAAATAAATAAATAAATAAATAAATAAAAGAGTTATAGCCTCCGTTTGGGAAGTGGGTTGACTTTTTGACTTTTTGACTTTTTTGGCTATTTTAGCCTGGGCTTAAAAGTTTGGTTTGGGAAGGGCTTTTTGACTTTTTTGAGTTTTTTTGTGAGAGAAGAATGTAATGATTATGGATTGGATGTGATGTTTTGTTTGTTATGATTAAAATAGCCTATTTTGTTTTTTTTTGACTAAAATAGCCAAAAAAACTTGCAAACCCACTTGCCAAACACAGTCTAAATGATATTTGGATTGGAGAAGGGAGGAAGGAAAGAGAGTCACCGAATTATAATTGGTCAAGGATTTCACAAAATCAGAAGTCCAAGTAGTTGGCTGGTAATTGGCCGATCGTCTCTGAGCTGTACGCTGTGAATCTTGCTTGACTGAGGAGCAATGAACGTACAAGCTGCTATGCAGAGCCCTTTGTGGAAGGCTCTGTTTTGAAGAGCAGTACAAAAGATGGGGAAGAAAGGAAATATGAAGTGCCATTTTCAGTGTTACTAACTTTGTTGCAAACTCATAAGCCAAGCTTCAACTATTTATAGAGAGACAGAGAGAGAGAGAGAGAGTGGAAACTGGTTATCACATTTTCATCATGATAATAGTATCATTTGGGACGGTAGTTGTGATTGGGAGCACTAAAGGAGCTGTTCTAACAATAGCTTTGATGAGTTGGTATGGAATTAAAAAAAAAAAATACATCACATCAGTAGTGGGTAAAATTTATTGTCAGTTCGTTAAAACTGGCTTTAGAGCTCAAAAATTAAAGCTCTAAAACATTTTTTTTTTTTTTTTGGAACGGAATAAGTGGATATACAAACTGGTAATTACATTTTCATCATGGTAGTAGTATCATTTGGGACGGAATAGGTGGATATATTGGTTATCACATTTTCATAGTAGTATCATTTGGGATCGCAGTTGTGATTGAGAGCTCTGAAGGAGCTACTTTAATGAGGTGGTATGGAATAAATAAAAAAATATATATAGACATCACATCAATAGTGTGTGAGACTTACTATCTGCTCATTAGAACGGGGTTTAGAGCTCAAGAATTAAATTTCTAAAACATTTTTTATTTTTTTGGGACGGAATAAGTGGATATACAAACTGGTAATCACATTTTCATCTTAGTAGTAGTATCATTTGGGATGGAATAGGTGGATATACACTGATTAGCTTCCTTCCATATTTTATGTCTCTATGCCTCTATATATCTTTTTATGAACTTTAATTTGAACTTGTACTCATAATCTGAACAGTCTATGTCATAAGCCCCACAATGAAACTCATCTATGAAAAAAATTAACTTCATCAAAAAAATCACATTTTATTTGATAAAATAAATAGTTTAAATTTAATTATGTTTACTATTAATTTTACAAAATAAAATGTGATTTATTTTTATATTTATAATTTTTTGATAAAGTTGATTTTTTGTATGAATGATTTTTATTGTGAGATCTACAAGATGGACGGTTCGAATTATGGATGCAGATTCGAATTAAAACCTTTTTTTGATAAAGTTAATTTTTTGTATGAATGATTTTTATTATGAGATCTACAAGATGGATGGTTTGAATTATGGATGCCGATTCAAATTAAAACCTATAAAAAAAATATATAAATGCCGCATTTGTTTTGCCAATTAGGTTGGAGGAGATTGTTAGTGAAGAGATTGTTAATGTGATGATTATTAGTGAGGAGATTAATAAGTAAAAATGTATTTTTTTTTTTATAATAGTATGGAAGATAATTAATGATGGGATTGTTAAATTGTTTTTAAATAAAATAAATTAAAAAAATTATTTATATATTAAAAAAATTAAAATAAATATTAAAACAAAACGTGCACTTGGGATTGTTTTAAAAAAAAATAAAAATTCACTGTATCGGACGTCCGGGCGAATGATTAGATAGACTGAAGTTGCTTATTATTTTCTTAATCCCATTTATTTTCCGGTCCGGCTACTAAAGTGACCAAACAAATGGAGCCAAAGAGACGTAGAAAAATCTAAGAGGGAGGGAGAGCATCGCCGATATACACAATCGGTGTTTTTCTCGTGTTTGTGATTTCAAATTTGTCAATCCCATGTTCAATAGTTGTCGAAGGAAAAGGTGGCCGATTTGTGTAAGTAGGGACCAGTGCTTGTCCACGCTCACTTGGAGTCCGTTTTTAGGCCATGTGACTGTTGAAAGTTCTATCCCACTTCTATTTTTTTAGTTTACTATTTTATTTTAAAATGTCTTAAAATGATAGTTTTATTAAAAAAATCATAGTAAAAAATATTTAATTTTTCAAAACTAATCCTTTTGAGTAATTACAAATATTAAATTTTTTAAAAGATAAGGACATTAGTGAAAAAAAAATTTAAAATTTAAATTTAAGTGTAATGATTGTATGTCTCCTTAAAAAGTTAGAATTCATAAAAGACACTGACAAATTGGGACGAGAGAGAATATAAGATTATGAATACTCAATACAGTGATATTAGGCAATGGAATTACTAGTGTAGGGGTATTAGATTAAAAATGTAAAATAAATTGTATTGTTTGCATATTTCTTCATTACATAAAAAATGGTTTTGTTATTTTTATAAAGTTGAGTAAAATGATATCTTCTTCACCTCCATTCCTACGGAGTTCATTGAATTGCTTATCCAATCTCACTTCTTGTGGAGTTTAACAAACACGAACTTAGGTTGAAAGTTAAATAGTTATTATAAATTATCATATTATTCTTTCTATTTTTATTTTATTTTTTTGTATATTTTTTTATAAAAAATCAATTAAAATGGCTAATTCCGAAACCACTCCTAAATTGCTAACTACTCAAAATGATGTGGGAGCCTCAAATTTATATGAGTATTAGGCAACATCTTATTATGAATAGTTGATAATTTAATATAAAATTAATTAAAAATCTGTAACATTTTTATTTAGAATGTTAATTTGGATTCTGAATGATTCTATAAAAAATAAAGGGGGCTCACATTTATATGAGTATTAGGCAACATCTTTTTATGAATAGTTGATAATTTAATATAAAATTAATTAAAAATCTGTAACATTTTTATTTAGAATGTTAATTTGGATTATTAATCAATTCTTAATGATTCTATAAGAATAAAGAGGACTTTATTTAGTGATATATTTTTTTAAAATTATATTAAATTTTTTTACTATTCAAATCCGTCTTACATAAACATAAATGAATCTAAAATACAAAAGAATAAAAATTCACTAAAAAAAAAAATCAACTTTTGAGGCTTTACTTTTTTCCTTTCTGGACCTTTTTTTAGAAATTTTAAAAAAAAATTTAATTCACAAATCCATCTAACTAGAACTCAAAAATGTATTTAAAAAAAAAATAAAAATCTAAACACCCAATAAGCTGCTTTTGGTTTATGAATTTTTTATTTAAAAAGTCAAAACATGACATCATATGCATTTATCTATTATATTTTCCCTTCCAACTTTTTATTTAACTAAACATATTGGCTTTTTTTCTCTTCTTAAAAAAATTTAAAAAATTACTAAGAAAATCAAATCACTAAACAGACACCAAGTAGAATTGAGGTGTCACTTTGTCTAGATCATCTTTTCGAAAATGTGAAAATGTGGCCATGTTCCTTAACCTTTTCAGTTTTTAGTTTACAAAAAATAAGGAATAGGTTTTCATTTATTTTTGTAAAAATCAAAAATAGAAAACTTGTTTAGTATACAAAAATATTTTAAAAACAAATAAAAATAAAAATAGAGAAATATATTTGATGAGTTACCAAATTTTGTGTTCGGAGATGGAGGGTAGACAGATGTGGTGACCGGTAGTAGTAGGCAGCTGAAAGTGTCTGCCATCGAAATTAGTGGTTGGATGTTATCGGAGGATACAAGGTGGCCTAAGATCATGATGGTGACCGCCCACCAGCCGAAGAGGCGCTAGAGGTTGGTTAGAGCTGACCACCGATTGGCGGTGGTTGGTGGTCGTGTTTGGTGGCCAGTGGTGGCGGTGATTCTGGCTGAAGGTGGTGGGTGAGAGAAGAAAATGAAAACTTAATTTAAAAAGAAGTGAAAATATTTTTTTATTTTTATTTTCAAAAATTGGCGGTGATTCTGGCTGAAGGTGGTGGGTGAGAGAAGAAAATGAAAACTTAATTTAAAAAGAAGTGAAAATATTTTTTTTATTTTTATTTTCAAAAATTTTGAAAACTTTGAAATCAATTTCAGTTTTTTGAAAACCAAAACAATATACCAAACAAGTTTTTATTTTTAGTTTTAAAAAATAAAAATAAAAACAAAAACAGAAAGTAAGAAACAAATATGGTAACAAACAACCCCTAAGATACCATATTTCACTAACTGATTTGAATAAAATCTAATTAATGTAATGTTTTGGGACTACAAAATTACTTTTTAGGTTGGGCTTCTTTTAAAATTTAGAGAATTTTAAAAGGTTATGGTTAGCAAATCCAACTATTTTTTTTTTATTATTGATAATATATATATATATATATATATTTAGGGTGCTATAAAATGAATGGTTCGAATCATTAAAATGAGATTCATGGTGAATTCTATGGCTTTCAAGTTCTCTCAAATTAAAATACGAATATAAAAATAGTCCAACCCTTACTGTTTCTGTACTAAGGCGGTCCAAGAGGGTCACGTGATCCATATAATACAACACATTTTTCATTTGGGTCCAACTCTCGGACTAGATGGTGTTGTTAGACTACAATGAGCCTGATTCCGAGCCCATCTTGACGATCCAGACTGTATGGAGCTCATCGAGTATATCATCCTGGAAAAAAATTATATGAATCGGATATCACTAGACACTTGATCAGCTTGCATTTGTGTCTGCTATTTATTTTAAAAATCATAATTGCCGTTGAAACAAATGCAAAATAATCAAATGGCTATCGATATCAAATCAACGTGCTTTTTATAGGGATGATGTACTCGACGAGCTCGTCACATTGAATGGTTTGAATCATCAAAATGGGCCTAGAATTAGACCCACCACGGCCCAACAATACTGTCCAATCCGATTTCAGATTGCAGAGAAGCTGTGGCTTTGTTTGTTTTATTTTTACAATAAGGCTCACAACTAAAACACAAGAAGAACAGATGCCAAACAAGTGAGGTCTTGCTTGGAAATTGATTATTTTAATTAATTTTTTTTATATATATATATTTTTTTATCAAAAGAGATATATAAAAAAATGATGTAATAGCTTACAATAATATTTTGACTTTTTAAATAACAAATTCAAGTCCCAAACGGGCCTGAGTATCACATCTAATCTAAGGTCACGTTTGTTAGGCTCTATAGGATGAAGGGGATTAGGAGTATAGTGAGATTGAGTGAGGAGATTATTAATATGGTGGTATTAGGCTGGAGATGTATGATACAATGTGTTTGTTTATGTACTAGTGTGGTGGTATTAGTTTGTTGGGATTAAATGTACAAGTTATGTAAAACCCTTATTAAGTAGAAGATAACTATATTAATTTTATAAA